TCATCATCATTATCATCATCATCATCATCATCATCATCATCGTCATCATCATCGTCATCATAATCATCATCATCGTCATCATCATCATCATCATCGTCATCATCATGATCGTCGTCATCATCATCATCATCATCATCATCATCGTCATCATCATTATCCAAATAATAATCATCTTCATCATCGTCATCATCATCATCATCATCATCCTCATCCGAATCATCATCATCGTTATCTTCATTATCCGATTAATCATCATCTTCATCATCGTCATCATCATCATCATCATTATCATCATCATCATCATCATCATCATCATCATCATCATCATCATCATCATCGTCATCATCGTCTTCATCTTCATCATCATCATCGTCATCATCATTATCCGAATAATCATCATGTTCATCATCGTCATCATCATCATCATCATCATTATCATCATCATCATCATCCTCATCCGAATCATCATCATCGTTTTCATCATTATCCGAATAATCATCATCTTCATCATCGTTATCATCATCATCATCATCCTCATCATCATCATCATCATCATCATCATCATCCGAATCAGCATCATCGTCATCAGCATCATCATCTGAGGGGATCGCATCAGATATCCACATCGAATGATGGCCGGCACGAAACAACTGCCAGTCGAGGACTATTTTTTTTTCCATTTCGTCTTTCCTATTTAAATAAGGTAATACATCAATTCCGTCCAAATATAGTGCCACAGGTTTTATGAATTCCAATTTAATTTTTAGTATTATGCGCATACGGCGAAGGAATTATCGGATGTTGATGTTGGTCATTTCTCGCAGCTGGAAGTGTTGTTCTCAGTTATTTCGTAGCCAGGCTAGTCAAAATCATCATTTGTAGAATTCTCAGGGTATCTAGGAGAGAGATAAACAGACCATCAGGTCACTGGTAAACAGGGGATCACAAGAATACTAAGCAATTGTTGCAAATAAGATTTGTCGAATAGATGCAATCCTGTGTACCCTTATCCGGTGCTGACCTTTGAATACATAACTCTCCTCGCCCTGGCACTGTCCTGTGGATATATTACAGAAGTGGTCGTATGTCACAGGTGCGTATATGAATTTCGTTTGCTCGCAGATGCATGGCGGATGCTTTTGTCATAACGTGCGAGTCGCAAGCGATGTAATTCAAGATTTCATAGCTGGGTATGAATGTATCCGTGGATGTGAAGTGACAAATTTGTATGATTATAATCGATTTTTTCAATTTCTTTTTTTTGGGGGGGGGGTATGCATCAACAAAGTGATGATTAGGTTTATGAATAATCGAGAAATGTTATTGCTCTCAAGCAAAATGTCATTCTGGTTTGGGAGGTGAGAAAATAAGGTGTTGGATTTTTCAGCTTTTTCATCCTGAAGATNTGAAGATCACAAGATCGTAAGATATCTGTTAATAACGGAGGTAATGCAGCTCGAAATGGCAAACATTGTATGAGACGCACGGATAAGAACGACGGGAACAGTTACGACAAACACAACAATTTATAAAGAAAACTTCCGAGGTGGGTCGGAGCGACAAACAACTGTCCTGATGGACCGAGTGAGACTGACTGATTGACTGATTGNNNACTGATTATCAGTTTAGTGTCTCAAGCAGAAATGATTACGGTTCTGATAGTTCATCAGCGGAGCTCATATTTGTAACCTACTTTGATAAGACCAGAACACACAAAGAAGACCAAGAATATAGAGGTTGATGTTTATCTTCTCTGATCGATCGATCGATCGATCGAATTCCATCCTGTCAGTCGGAAAATCTGATTGAATGACTCCCTGGAGGATATAATCACGCTGTATTGAATCCCCAAATCGCCCCGATGACATTCGAGTACAAAGGAAACACTAACAGGATACACGTGAACAGTGATTCGATCAAGCAAAATAAATTGTTGTTTGAGGAATTTCTTCACTGAAAGGGTTCCACCTGCCATCTGTATGACACTTTGTACTTTACTTTTATGCAAACAACCGATGTCATCAATCCAGATAGTTTATTATCTACAGTAGTAACCCCGTACAAGGAGACACTTGGATCACTGGCATTGCAAAACTTTGGTCCGGATTTAGTAGTTCCGCCTGAAGCTCTATTCTGGCTGATAAAATAGGATATTGATTAACAGTTATACTGCCTATCAGCACAGTACACCACGAGAGAACTGGGGCTCGGATCCATGGTGACCCCTCTCCCCTAGTGAGGAAGGAGTCCATTCGATTCCTCTGTCCGCTTGAAGATGCATACAATAACACGCGTGACCTTATTAATAAGCATTCCCTAACACACAGATTCTATTCACCACTAATCTATATCTGTGTGATTGTATCATCGTTTTTCTCTCTCACTACTCCTGTCTTGATTGCTACTCATCGGAGGTTACTGTCTTTCTCCTTCCTCTACTCACATTTTGCCATCACTGAAAACCCCGGCTGCCGGGTTCCAGTTTAGCATGTTTCTCGACCCAGCTACACTGCGACTGTATCTCGGAGATATTTTGCTGAGCACATCTGAATTTATACAATTTGTAGAAGGGAAATCTTTGTACTCTCTTTTTGTTGCTTATTGA